TGTAATAGAGTGACTATAGGACCAGTTTGATAGAACACTATTTCATACAATATATATGATTAGGGGGTCCTCACTGCATCTTGCCATCAATTTGGGAATCCTTGGTCTGGAAAACGTTGAAGACCCCTGGTCTAAGGGGTTCCAGGCATGTCCCCCCAGAAGGAGGACAATATAACCCAGAATAACTTAAATTATATCATTATTCTAGGTCATCTAATTAATCCAGTTTAGTCTGTCAATCAGCTGCCTGTCGTGTCTTTAAAAGTCCAGCAGGTGTCAGTACGCTGTGAAACGGTATCAATGCAGCATTACTACAGTTTAGCAATGAGTCCAAACGTTTCTAGATGCCTCATGAATCAACAGACACTTCTAACCCGCTACCAGGAGCCACCGACCGTCCCTCAGGATGACGGTTACCTGCTTAGTTACACCAACATGGCGTCTGACCAACATCTAACTTCAGAAACTTTCCCCTCTTCCTCCACGGTAGCGGTTATAGCTGCTGTTTGACCAGCAAAACAAGCTGTAGTATTAAAGTAAAGCCTCTGAGCCTTAAACTCACCTCTCTGCTCCTCATTCAGCAGCTCGAAGCTGGAAGCAGGTTTGCTTTTAGCGCTAAAAGATGGGATCCAGTAAGGGCTGCCGCGATTGGCTAAAGGACGAGCTGGGCGTTCCCTGCCGAGAAATCGACCAATAGGTAGGCAACCTGTACCGGAAGTAAAAAAAAATAACCCGCTTGACTATCACGTATGGTCACGTGGCTGAGGTATACAATTGGATGACTTATTTTCCCCTTTATTAGAAAAACTGCACCTAAGCTGGCAGATAAAATAGAAAAACTATTAGTTTAACAGTTAAAAAGTTAAGACAAAGTAAAGTGGACGGAAAGAGTATTATTAAAGAAAAACTGATTGAAAAAATGGCGAAAAAGGTGGGATGAAGAAAAAACAGGAAGGTGGTTTTATAAAATTCAGAAGATATTACTGTAGGAAAAAGAAGAAATGGAAGATGAAATAGAAAAGAGGGGAGAGTGATAGTATGGTTAAGATTTGGGCATACAGGATTTAATTATACGCTTTTCAAAATTTAAAAGCATACTGGTGGCAATGTGATTACTGTGGAAAATATGAAACAATAGAACATGTTATACTGGAACGTCAAATGTGAAAGCAAGAGAAGATATATGAGGAGAGAGTTTAAATGTATTAAAGAAAAAAGATTTATTCAGATATTTTCAGGAAAAATTTGGGGATTAAATATGTAAAAATAGTTATTACCTTTTTAAAGAAAACTAAATGATTTCATAGAAATTTATTATAGATAGAATAAATGTGTTTTTGATATAGACGGGTAGAATACAAAGTTATGTATTAGTATGTATATATATATATATAGTTTGTATTTTTACTCCTTAGAATTTCTTTAAAAATTAATTAGTAGATAGTCCAACACGAACCACACTCCATACCAATAAATGGCAGTAATGCTGCTAAATGTTTGTTGCCAACCGCCAGTAAATCCAAGAAGACTTTTGACTTTTAACACTTTATTTACACAATTCAAAAATATAAACAATTGACGTAAAACAAGTGTCAGTTCAAATCATTAAATTAAGGGATCTTGTTAAAATGTATTTCTTC